AGGAAAGAAAAAGCCACGTTTTTTTTTGTGTTCTGAAATAGATGCTACCCTCAGGGAAGTAGTCTCTGTCAGGCGCGCAGCGTTAACATGCTACATCAGTCTATAGTTTGTTGTATAGACAGATATTCACGCTGCTTCAATGAAGGGTTTACTGACTTTGTTGGCTAGCGATTGCTTAGACGACTACGGCTTTAAATTGACCCCGACTCAATTCTTTTTTATTTCAGCCGAGAGATAAATTCCGAATACAGTGCTTTCGTGCTGCAGTCGAATGGGTGGTAGCCAATCATGGTGACGATGGAATTCGCCGACAAAGATCGGCATTAGTTCCGTCTTCAGTGACCACCGCAGAGGGCATGACGTTTGAGGAGTACGTGAGGCATGCGTTGGCTCGGCATCCTGAAATCGCCGAAGCTGTTATTGAGCAGGTGCAGTGATTCTATTACTCCGATTCTTCTTACAAAAGTCTGTTCTCTTCGGGAAAATCAACAAATGTGTGTGAGGAGGGATACGTAGCCATACTGATCGTCGTACTTTCTCCTTCTTCTTCTTCTTCTTTTTCTCCCTAGCGTTAGTCCCGCGCAGAAGAAGAAGAAGAGATCGTCGTACTTTCTGTTGGGTAGGATTGATGGAAAAGGAAGCTGTTTTCTTTCTTCGCAATACGAAATGTTCTCGCTGCCAAACTCCAGGTCCACCTCAGTTCATGAGCGAACTAGGAGTTCCCGCGGCAAAAAAGTATCGCGCCGCGAAGTGCCGAAAATTTGCACTCCGACCTAGCGACCCACACCACTGGGTGTTGGAATTTTCTACCACTTTCATCTTCTATGGTTCGAAGCATGCGCGCCCTGAAAACATAGTTGGTTTTGGATGGTGAGTTCAAAAGTTAGGAGTCAGGCACCATCACGGTTTCGTTACAGGCGTGAGTGCAATGACTGGTGAAATTCGTCCTGTGTAAGCATCCGTATACAGAGCAGTGAAGGATGATTGAACTCTTTCTTGGACGCAAGTTTTTATACAAGTATCCATGAAGTACTCCATGAAAATCACTTCTTTTGGCCGTCTCTTCCGCGTTATCCTTCCTGCCAATCATTTTTCAGTAACCCTCCATTTCCTACGCTTTTCTGTGTACAGGGTGACGAAAAATTACGTGCGTGTGAAATTTCGCGTCGTTATAAACATTGCTCGAGGAAGATATGCGTTCTTTCTTCTTTTCAAAATATTTGTTTTTTGTTTCTAGGAAAAAAAGTTTGTTCCAAGTTCTGGCGAAGGCCTGTTCAAGTCAAGACGCAATTTTGAAATGAGGAAGATCAGCTTCTACCCGAACCCGTGAGGGAATAAGAGCGGAGTATCAGCAACCGATGGGGGCAAAGAATTATTGAGAAACGGAATGATCAAAAGGATCACTGGAGATTTAGAGAGAGAGAGTGCCAACAAAAGGAAAATATAAAAAGTTACGCTTTTTCTCAAGATGGAACTCAGTGTTTCCCAGAAAAATTCACAGCCCATTCTAGGCGGCTTAGAAGTCTCAGAATCGCATTTCACTCTTTATTCCGGTTCTCAGAAGCATTCGTTTGGAAAATACCCTCAAGAATCGTCCCTTGAAAATTTGATGATTTAGAGCTGTATCAGTTGTTTAAGTAAACCTTCACAGATTTTTTATCAATAAAAGCGTGAAATCAATGGGAAGTTCTGCCAAATGAGATTCTTTTTTTTTCTTAGAGGTATTTTTTCAAGAACAGATATTTTTCAAGGAAGCTGTAGTCCCCTTGAAGCAAAATCATAACAACTTGATCTTTCTACAGGAATGGGCTCCGGCCCATGAACCAGCACAAAGATTCACTTCTTCGATACCAGGCATTTTTTTTGCAATAGATTTGTGGCGTACTGTCCGACTACAGATCTGTCAGAATTCTCTGTTTGTGGGTTCATTGAGAGGTGCTGGGGAATCGAAATTCAGAAAGTTCGATGGCCTTGAGGAAAAATTACCAAGATTTGGAATAATTATGCGTTGTACAACCCGCCGCATCATCGGTCGGTGAAGAAACGAAATGGTCTTGTACTAAAACTGATGGCGACCACAGCCTTCGCTACTTCTTCATGAAATGCAGTTATAAAATGTTATTTGTTGTTTCATAAAATTAATTACTCGAAGATTATTGTGGACAAAAAAAATGAAGTTTGGTGTTGTTTTAACGCACGTAAATTTTTGCCACTCTGTACTCGGTTACTCTCGCGATGGTCTCATTTACTAGGCTTTCTATAGAAATATCGTTTTGAAAACAAAAATTATGCTTCTTGAATTTCAGTTTTCACATCATATCATTTGCGCGGGATTTGTTTTCTCTTCAAAGTGGTATAACTTGCTTCTACACTCATAGCAGAGATTTTAAATTTTTAGGCCTCCGAAATGGGAGGTCCGGTCGACGAAAATTAGGCGAATCGACATCTAATTCCAACTCTTTGTTTTTCGACAAATCGACCAATGATGTACCCTCTAGCCCACTGTCACGGCTTTTTTGGCCGCCACCTGAGCCAGGGTCAACCGTCCGTTCGAACTGTTCGAACGAAGGGGTCGCATTTTGGTCGGAAGGGGGTCGCAATTTCGAGGACTGCCAGCCACAGGCGCGTGCGTGGCGTATCCGAGGGCAAGAATTGTTTGTGCAGACCGCATTAGATTCGATTAATTATGCACAGAGAGACAGTTTTAGGCAAATTACGGTGTTTTCCTTGAGGAATAGAGAACAGTTGAATGCATCCCTATGAAAGGTTTGACTTCTCGGGCTGAAATTAAAGTTCTTCGGGACCTGATTTTCTGAGGACGATTCTTCCAGACAACGGTAAAACACATAAGAAAGCAGAAATCTCGTAGTCTTCAAAAATGTCTTCGCCCCTCCCCAACAAGTTCTTTGAAGGAAGTTATTATTGCTGAAAGCTCAAAAACTCGCATGTGCTGCTCAAAAACCTATGGGAACAAAATGTTCGAACGTGTGATTTTCTCGGAAAATGGATTTTGAAAACGGTTTGGTGCTTGTTCAGAAAGAGCAAATCCTGCACTTTCACCCCATGAAAAAAGTGCATCACAGAAATGAAAATGAAGTGAGTTATGGTCGCTGAAAGCCCAAAAACTCGCTTTTGCACGAAAAATGTTCGAACGGGACAATTTTTGAAAAAGGGGACAATCACTAAACTTTTTATACTATTTTGTTAGAGAAATATTTGAAGTTTCTGAAACTTTTTACAGATTCAAAAATGTCGCATACGCCTTCTTAGAATTTTGGGTTTTCCACTTCTAACAGAAGTACTTTCCGGAGAGTTAGGCAATCCTTGTAGTTTTCTGAAAGCGCACCTCAGGCACAATCAAAATCTACCTCAACAAGTCAAAAAATACGTCCCAAAGTTATTCCCCTCTAAAATTTTTTCTTCGCCGCGTCCCGTTCTTCCAGCGCCCGGGTGATACCTGCCGCGCTCCAAGCAGGGTCAACCGTCACGTTCGAACATTTTCGGGATTTTTGCGACCCCCTAGCTCTCGAGGGGTCCAGTTGCGACCCCCTGTTTTTGTTAATAAGAGTGCTAGACATGAATCCGTTGCGCCAGAAAGCGTCTGCGCGTCGTCGCGTCGGCCTTGGAGCGCGGCAGGTATCACCCGGGCGCTGGAAGAACGGGACGCGGCGAAGAAAAATTTTAGAGGGGAATAACTTTCTTGGGACGTATTTTTTTGACTTGTTGAGGTAGATTTTGATTGTGCCTGAGGTGCGCTTCCAGAAAACTACAAGGATTGCCTAACTCTCCGGAAAGTACTTCTGTTAGAAGTGGAAAACCCAAAATTCTAAGAAGGCGCACCTTCAACTTTGAAGGCCCATAAAATCTTTCGTATGCGACATTTTGGAAATCTGTAAAAAGTTTCAGAAACTTCAAATATTTCTCTAACAAAAGTATAAAAAGTTTAGTGATTGTCCCCTTTTTCAAAAAATTGTCCCGTTCGAACATTTTTCGTGCAAAAGCGAGTTTTTGGGCTTTCAGCGACCATAACTCACTTCATTTTCATTTCTGTGATGCACTTTTTTCATGGGGTGAAAGTACAGGATTTGCTCTTTCTAACAAGCACCAAACCGTTTTTTCAAAATCATTTTTCCGAGAAAATCACACGTTCGAACATTTTGTTCCCATAGGTTTTTGAGCAGCACATGCGAGTTTTTGAGCTTTCAGCAATAATAACTTCCTTCAAAGAACTTGTTGGGGAGGGGCGAAGACATTTTTGAAGACTACGAGATTTCTGCTTTCTTATGTTTTACCGTTGTCTGGAAGAATCGTCCTCAGAAAATTTCAGCCCCGAGAAGTCAAACCTTTCATAGGGATGCATTCAACTGTTCTTTATTCCTCAAGGAAAACACCGTAATTTGCCTAAAACTGTCTCTCTGTGCATAATTAATCGAATCTAATGCGGTCTGCACAAACAATTCTTGCCCTCGGATACGCCACGCACGCGCCTGTGGCTGGCAGTCCTCGAAATTGCGACCCCCTTCCGACCAAAATGCGACCCCTTCGTTCGAACAGTTCGAACGGACGGTTGACCCTGCTCCAGAGGCTGACGCGACGACGCGCAGACGCTTTCTGGCGCAACGGATTCATGTCTAGCACTCTTATTAACAAAAACAGGGGGTCGCAACTGGACCCCCTCGAGAGCTAGGGGGTCGCAAAAATCCCGAAAATGTTCGAACGTGACGGTTGACCCTGCCTGTAGCTAATGATTCCGAGCAGTGTCGCTGTAGTTCCTTATTCAAATTCTGTTTTTCCTCAGAACTCGATGGGTAAGCGTCAGATCGAGACCCCAAATAAATATCTTACAGGTAACTGTAAAACCTTAGTGAATGCTCGAGAGCAAGTCTGCGTGATGTCTTGAATGGATGCCTGAATTAGTTTGTCATCTTTCAGTTTTGTCATGAGGTAAAGGTTCTTTGTTGTCGACGTGGTAATTCTGTCGACTTAGCCATTTTGTGCAACGCAATACCATTAAATTCCGCGTAAATTCATATAGGGGGAACAGGTTAAAGCTAGTTGTCGGTTTGGCGAACGACCGTGACTGAACCTTCCAACTCGCAGGCGTGAGTTCCAACGTGTTTGCAAAGGATGTGGAAGGGAAAGATAACTAGTGTAAGGCAGGCAAATCTTTCCAAAATGGTAATCTTCATACTTGATGCAACCGATGCGATTTAAGCAAAAATTTTCCGTTTAAAAAAAACTTTTTATGGGACTGCCCTAAATGCATCTGAAATCAATACAGAAGTGGATGGTTAAGGGAGCCAAAGTTCGAAGGTAATTATGTGGCCTGTTTTTGGGTTCTAAACTGTATTGTAGCTAATCAGCACTAGTTTATTTACTGCTGAATTATGAGTGTCTAGAAACCTAGCATTGGTGAATTTATCTTCAAAATGATCAAAATTTCGCATGCTAAGATATAAAAATGAACGTCTACCTTCTTAAGAAAGTCAACCATCACTTATATATTCGTTTACAGTAATATTTAGACTCAGGATGCGATGAGCGAGTTAGAAGATTCGTCGATCAGGTGGAAAACGAATGGCGTCGATTTTTGGTCGTTCACTGCCTTCGCCTACTCTTCGCTCCTCTTGTAGAACATCTCTTGATTATGGATAGAGTTGAATTTTTAAAGGATCATGGACACCAAGTAACTGTGATTCCTTTGTTTGATCCGAAAATATCTTCTAGGAATTTGGCGATAATCGCTTTCAAGCCATGTGCTTCTCAATAGCTAGGCGTTGGAAAGAGTTAAAAACAGCAGGTCATATGGAATCTCAAAAATGCTTCCAGAGCAGGCCTCGACTTCATTGGGTTGACCGGACCTTGCCGCTTTCAAGGTCGACCATATTCAAGGATCTCCAGAAAAGCTATCCATAATTTTTAGTTGGCTATAAGTCTTGCAACAATTTACATTTGATGCTAGAAAATTTTTGTGAGAACTTGTGAGAACTCCGAAAAATCCGCAACATGTTTGCTTACGTAGCATCCACCTTTGCAATTTCAGCCAACCATCCAGCTCGTTGTCTCGCTACTTGTTGTGGATATTACACATCGATTTCGCGAAAAGGTCTTCGTGCCCATAATTTTACGAGCACTGCTTGGAATGTTCCGCAAGTCATGCTACACCTGAGGATTTGTCAGAAGATGGGCGAGGACACGCTTCTCTCAATTCATGGTGCACAGGCACTCACTCTGCTCACTGTTGAATTTTTTATTTGAAGATGATCCACACTCCAACCACCCCGTGACTGACAATCACGATGCTCTATCTGGCGCTGCTGAAAAGGGATCTGGATGGACTATCGATCATTTGTCAGAGCAATTTCGATGCAACAAGGATACAGCACTGTGGCATCTCCAAAGATTTGTAATCCGGAACTGTAGAGTTTGGATCCCACATGCCTTGAGCCCAAATCAGCTTCAAACACGAACTGTCATCGTCATGTTCAAGTCGACTTACTATGGATTCTTCGATTGACCATCTATCACAACTTCTGAAGATGAGGGATGGTAGTGTGCTGACAAATAAAGAAGCGGCAATAGTCCAGCTCAAACGCTTCGGGAGTTCTTACTGCTGAAGTAGAACCTCGTCCAGGGTTTCATATAATAGGTGTATATCTTTAAAGCGTGTTACATAAACAACTTTTTTTCTTACAGATTGTCATACATCATCTTGAACCACCTCGCCTCATTATAAAAATTCCTGGAAATTTATACAGTAGATTCCGTTTCCTTCACTAACCATGACCCAGAGAGCTTGATCCTAATCTGATAAAAGACTATTAGTCGTCGAACTTATCTATAACGAGAGTTGGCATGTAACACCATATCCTGCGAGCTCGAGCCAGAGGATGCCCACCTGCTTCCCTCTCCAGACCACGTCCTAGAGAAGAAATCTCATCCTAACCATTGTGATGTCAAAATCGACACCTGATCTTTCTTCGATTAGCATTCAGCGGAGTTCTACAAGAGACATCGAACAGCTTCTAGTGCGTTGGCAATAGGTTGTAGATATTGATGGTGTGTAGCATGCTGGAATGAACAAAACAAAAAGATAACAAAAATATTAAATCGAGATTTAGCCAGTCTGTTGCAAGACTTATGAACAACCTAATATTTCCGACACTGAGTTTTTGTACGATTAATCAAGTGGAAATATATAATTAATCTATCTAGTCATAGTCCACCAACCACAGAGAACCTAACACGGCAATGTTGTTCTTCCAGGATCGACAACGTTTAGGTAAACCCTATACTTCACAATAATTCTGACATTACATGTTAACTTATACCATTGTCTTGAAAAACGCTACATAACTTCCGAGCGGCCATTCCTATTTTTTGTTTCCTCTTGTAAAAAACACATCTAAAACTTGTTGTTCCCCCTCTTTGTGCAACATTTCGATATGCACGATTCAAGAAGTGGGTACGAGATAAAAGAAGTATACGCAAGATTGTACTCCTTCAAAAAAATATTTTACTTGAGTATGTCATGTCGTTATAGTGTTCAATTTTCACAATCGATGAGAATTTTATTGGATAACCCAATAGAATTGAGAGTCAGTTTGCGAACTACTGTGTAGTTCCCTGTTTTTATTTTGTTACGAAAAAAAGTTGGTCCGTTTACCTTTTGCAGAGAGAAAATAATAGTTGTATTGACATTCGCATCCGGGTATGTCGTGACCTCCTCGAAGTGTAGTACCTTTGCAGTTGTTAACTAAAAATGCATGTAATAAACACATTGTTCGGCTGAAAGCTTGCAATTCATCTAGTTTCAATTTAGATTCAGACGGTAATCGGAAAATGTTCCGTCTTAATTATCCACAACGCTTCTCATATTTGTTTGTTTTCAATTTCTTGTAGTGTTACAGTGCGTTCATTCAGGGTCAACCCTAGTTTCCCTGCAAAGGTTTTGTGTGAATGTAAGCCCTTGATGCCTAATAACGCACGAAATACTGGGCTGTATTTGTCCTTCCCCCAACCTAGGTGGTCCGAAAGTTTCCTTTGAAGGGAGCGATTGCGATAAGGAAGAAGCGCATCGGAGAAGCCTGTGCGCTACATGAATCAGTCACCTGGCTGCCAGGGAAACTAATGCAGCGCTTTCACGAGACATTTGTGGCTGTATTGCGTAGTGACGTTTAAAAAAGCAATGACCCCAAAAAGCGGGAGCCGCTCATCAGTTGGTGAATATCGGTCGAGGAAATCCTCGACAGGGGGGTCGTACCTGTCGGGCTGGGTCATGGGGGTCGTACTCTTGAGGGTCAGTAACAGCAGTGGTATCGTGGTGCAGATAGGTAAGAGGGTATAGCGCAGCAGAAAATGAAAATATCTGAAAAAAAACATGATTATGATAAATTATTTTCTTTGCAGGTTCAGTCGCTCCATTCCTCCACCTTCATGAGAAGGGCGTATTTGAAGGCAGTACAAAGAATGAAATGAAAATGCATCCCCGCAAAGAAGACTGCCACATGTGCGCACGCGCTGCAAAGGCACCTCCTCTGCCTATCGCTCGCTCCTTCTCCCTTAATACCTCGCTGAGAATGACACTGTTGTTAGGGACCCTGTCGCAAAAACGACAACCGTGAAGGAAAAGCCCTGGGCAAATGAAGTTGTTCTTCAGGTTGTAGGAGTTACGAAATGCGTTTACTACAATGCAGCTTCTGTCAACTGGTCATGATCATATGACACCTTCGAATCGATTCTGCAACTTCGAGTGAGGTCGGATGCATGGCCTATACTCAGACAAAATTCGATGATGACGATTGCCCCTTTTCCTATTGCTTATGTTGGGAGGATGTTTTCTAGACCCATTTCAAGCGTTGCCAACAATTACACTTGCAATGGTGAAGGAGGGAGCGGATTTTCAGGTGGCCGGATCCGTCCTCGATACATACTCGACGCAGATATCTTCTCAACTAGGAAATGTAGAAGAAAGCTAAGAAGACCATCAGAAAGCGCAAACCTTCCGCTTTCCAAAACTATCTTCACTTTTTCAGGATCTCACGTTTTAAGAGAGATATTGCTCTTGAAGTGGCAAAAACTCGCGTGAAAATTTCAGCGTCCTCGACGTTTACTCGACGAAATTTGAGAGACCCTATCTTTCTGCATGGAAGGCTTTCAGAGCAATTTCAATACTTCTTGGAAACGCGAAATCCAGCTCTATCTAACCCTACCTCAAACTGCTTCAAAGGTTATGAAATGGAGGAATGCAACCTTTTCATCGAGGGTGTAGATTTCGACGGTTTTTTTCGGGATTTCAGCAAATCTGACCCAGTGACAATCGCGCCGCAGCTGCCGTTGAATCGGCCGTTGATTGATACACTCGGCTGTTTCGATATACTCAAGCAGGAATTAAGATTAAATCGCAACCCCGTGCCTTCAGGATTTCTGTGCATTTCTGAACGAACCTGACTTTGAGGTCACACAAAGTTAATGCCTCTTTCCTCGAGTCGATATTTCAGTAAATACACAAAAGTGTGCAGCGATGAAAGACAGTGCATAGATGACAAGATGAGCGTCCATAACATTATTTTGCAGAATTTTTTTTTGATTTGTTTTGCAGGATTTATTTTGATTAATTAATTGAATTAATTTGCTCTGTTAGAGGGGGTCGTGCCAGGATCTCGATTTCGGGGGGGGGGGTCGTACCTCTGCGACCACGTACTCGACACGATTTTCACCCTGCCTCAGTAAGTTTACTTGCGCGATTTGGATGAGCCATGTTGCCAGCAGCAGCAGAACTGATGCAACTCGATTGGGGCGTGGTTTGGCATGTGTTGCGATGATCTTGTTCATATATCTACAAGAGACTTATAGCCGACGCTCGTACTCAGTCAGTGCACCATAAACTCCCCATTCGAATGAAATGGACTGCAGTGGAATGAAGTCTAGATGGTTATCACCTACATTGAGCGACTACGACCAAGAAGGAAGCGTTACTGTCTACAAAACTCCTCTCCTGCGACCACATGTACAGGGGTTCCCATGTTCGATCTTCAGTGAGTAGTGACCTGTCACAGTCGACCTTGTTTTCATGTAATGTGAGCTAAAATCCAAAGTTGTTAGTTGATCTATAGCACATGTAGATATTTACATAGCATAGAAATCTGACACGAAGGTATCCTTGTGAGGATGACCTGTGCTAGTGAGAGCGCATACTTGTTGGTGATAGGCCATGGGATTTATTCATTCTTTCTGTAAGAGAGATCCATAGAATGTAATTCAGATCAACCGAAATCCCGCCTTCTAGGAGCGTTTGCCGCATCGCTGGCGATGATTCCCTCACGACCTCACGTCTGGCGGGGGCGTGCCCATACTGTATAAGCCTTGAACAGATACTACAATCATATATACCTTCTCTTGCAGCCATACAATAAAGGCGTTCAACTCTTCTCTCTGTACATAGTTTTCCTCCTTCACATATAAATCCACTGAACACCGCAAAGGTAATCATACACTCCAAATCTCGAAGTCTGATTGGGCGTGTCACCGGAAATGACGTGGCAGCCACCGCACTTGATAGAAATTGCGCGGATAAGCTGCTTCCAGCATGCTTCGCTGATATCTGGCGGAGTATCTTATCCACGTGGCATCTAGCAAGTGCGATGGCTGCCACGTCATTTCCGGTGACACGCCCAATCAGAGTTCGAGATACCGACTGTAAAAAGGATCCCATAACCCTAAGTCTCTAGTTACCCGCAACAGCGCTGGTGTACTTAAGTGGGGGCATCCCCACGCGATGACCTTGGAAGAGCTGCAATTCGAGGTAATGTAAAGTTTCTCACACCTCTCCTAGTCCCAAAGCAACGTTCTAGGACCAGTAGGGGGGGGGGGGGGAGGAAACCTTAGCATGCTGGTCTTACGCCTTTATCCACCAACCTTTTGTGGGATTTTCCTCTTCTGCATTGAAGGATGATAGGAGTTCTCCACACACGCTGTGAGCAAAACCTTAACTATTGTACTATCAATTGGAAAGCTGTCCTCCACGATTTTAATCGACTTTGCATGAGATGTTATGTTCAGTGTCCGCTTCCTACTTTTTTGCTGGACAGGAGAGTTTTTGAGCTAATGCCCACTACCACAATATTCACTCTAGTACTGCTACTGAATACTGCTAGAGCAGATACAAGTCATCTAATCTTATTATTTTCTCTCACAACAAGTTCTATCGGTAGCCATTCAATCGGAAACAGTGCCAACAATAGTGAAACCAGACGTGAGAGTACTGTAATCGCTTGCGGTACGCAGTTGCACGGGCGCATGGTGGGAGAAATACGTAACATCGCGTTTCATCGTGGGTCTTCACCATCAACTTTTGAAACCGGAATTTTACCGCCATATGTATGCTGCGCGGGGAGTTTGAAACGTGCAATTTAACGTTTGCTCTCCCGGCCGTGATTATGCTTTTTCGTTTGTGCTTTGCCATTTGTTAAACTCAGTGTAGTTTGCCCGTCAAGACCGCTAGCTGAGGATTCTGCCATTATTCTGTCATATTTTCTGTTTTACATGCCGTTAATTTGTACTCCTTAAATTTTAGGGCACTGCAGAGTTGGGAACAAATCATATTATTCGCTATATAATCATGGTAACTATCGATGTGAGGGGAGTGCAAATTATGTTCCCGTTTCCTCCATACGAGTGTCAAGTGGCATACATGGAAAAGGTGATCGAAGCAATTGATATGGTACGTTCAGCTGAACGTCTTTCTTCCTTTAGATTTCAATGATCGCATTCTAAGAAATTTGACGCCGCCTTGGGTCTCCCACGGGTACTGGCAAGACATTATCCTTG